TGTATTTAGTTGGATTTTGATGTTCTTGCAAAACTTTACTGTCACTTGTGATTTATTTGTTATGTATTTCTTTGGTTTTGTTGAAAATCCTATGCCACTTAAATGGTTTCATTGTAGAAATTAATTTTGTGGCTAAAAGAAAGAACATCCCCAATATTTTTTACCAAGAAAAATTCAAAATTAACTCCATTTTAACAATAAAAGCATTAGGGAAAGTTGAATAATTTTCATTGGCTAAGCTTATTGATGGTATGAAGTAGTAGAAATTATTCTATATTCCATAGTGAGCTACATAGAAAGCTTTCTCACTAGAATGAGCTTTTATTTTATAGGAATTGAATTCAGATAGATAAATTTGTCATGAGGTTAGACCATTCTCAACCAAGTCCTAGTTGTCAATCCTTGAGCCAAGCGAATGCCAATGTTTCTCATCTTATATAGAGCGTGATGTATTCACAAATGTAAGTAATGATGTCATTATGGATCGTTTTCAAAATATGAAAACTCGTCGAGGACAATTGTAAATAGATGATGTATATTTATAATATTAATATTATTGTTGGAAGTTTTATGGTTGCGTCAATTAGTTATAGTTATTATACTTTTTTCGTTTGATCAGTTTGTCTACATAAATAAAAAAAGATGAATAACCCGCACCGACGTCCGAGTTGATCAAATCGATTAGCTTGGCATCCGGAACCTCCAAATCTTGGATCCGCCCTGCTTGTAACATCGTTCAAACCATGGAATCGGTTAAGACAAAGCCAATACACATTAAATTGGTAATTGTTCACGTTGATGGAGTGGGGACAATAAAAACACTGCATTAATGACTTTTTTGCACAATCTTTCCTTTTTTTCAAAGGTTTTTGAGTTGTTTCATAGAGAATCAAGAACGTGAGCAGGGATTATTAATGCAAATCAGCATGCTTTTTTATATAACAATATCATCCAAACCATCTTGCACCATTTCAACTATTCCATGTATCGAATAACTCTGTCTATCTAGGATTAGGCAGATGCCAAGAAAAGCCTCCTTATATCCTATAAACCAAGAGGGACATAATTAGTTGCGAAGAGAAGAGGGTTGAAATTTTCACACAACGCTTCATATTATTGCACCCACTCTGCTTGGTGAAAAATACCAAAGATGAGGGCACAAAATGGTGACCAGAGAAAGAGAAGGTTTCATTGATATTGAAAAGTACAGATGAATAAATGAGAACTCGCTTGCGCTTTCTTATTATTTAGAGAACATGTTGACATGTCGGGTATAGATAACATACAGTTGAGAAGCCAAATACTTGATCCTTCATGGGGAGGGTGGGAAGAAGTATGCTCCAACTGCTTTTAGATATCTTGGATGTACATTTGGAGGAGAAAATTATGGTCTCTCTTTTACATTACCAAAATCTGTGCATTCGTAGTGTATGCTGATGCTACATTCCGATGGTAGTCGCCAAAACCAGCATGGACCTCTATAGTTAGCAACAAATAGATTTCAGAACTGCATACTGGTTGGATTTAAAAGGGGGGACCTTTCACTGAATGAGAAAATGACTTCTTTTGATAAGATAACCAATCCACCGTTGTTGATCAGAACATAAAGCTGTGCCTACAAACTGGAACCTGTATAAAAGACTCGGATCATTCAGTGAAATACTCAAATTTCTTCCAGGTTGCATACCCAAAAGTGAGGAACATATGTACAACAAAGGGTGTTTTGGCAGAGATTCAAAATATAATTAAGAAAGAACTTCACTTTTACATCATAGCAGAACGAATGAAGTTGCTCCTCACTACATTGGAGTCACTGATCAACTGAATGTCGCAGTGTCTTTTCTAACAAACTCACCCGCTTCACTTCCTGGCACATCTGTTTGGTTGGTCAAGATATTAGCTGCACTATCAGTACCATCGAGGAGTTGATCATTTTTTTGCACCAAAGCTGATTTGTCCAGAACTTCGTTTGTTGCTTGCACCTGATAAAGCAGGAAAGAGAACTTATTAAGACTATGCAGTGCTGATGTTATCTGACGACAAGACTGACTTTTATCTCCCTTGAGTTAAAAGCAAAATATACTGAGGGTCGGTAATATTTCTGGGCCATGACTGCAAGCAATTATTATGTTAGACGAATTTACACTTGGCCCAGAGTTAGACGAATTTACACTTGGCCCAGGAATCAGAATAATATAGGAAGCAGTTTTACAGTATTAGTAATTGGCCCTCAGCTTAGGGACAGAAGCAGAAGGAAAATATGTCAATTTAAATGGCAACTACCATGGAATATCATGAACCCACCATAGAACCAGAAAATTCAAAGTGTCTCCAAGTGTGTGCTAGTAAGCCGGTGACAACCATGAAGAAACTCAAAGCATTTGCCTAAATCACCAACTAGATACCAAGCTACTTGCCATAGAATTTGAGAAATATCTAACATCACTAGGAACCAACAGCAGCATGTGTGACCCTAGAAGAATTCTGAGTTGCTCCTGAATATTGAAGTTTGAACAAGCTGGCACACTTCTATCGGAAACAGTCTCTCTGTCTTCACAAGGTACAGGTAAGGTCTGCGTACACACTACCCTCCCCAAACCCCACTTCTGGAATTACATCGGGTTTGTTGTTGTTGTTGTTGTTGTTGTTGGCACACCTACAGGCCCCTTGTTGGCTAATGAACATTAGGTGCATCCCTAGTCTCCCTAACAAGCTTCCTACGAGATATCAGCTTTTTTTCAAAACCAGCATTAGTCTTCATATGTAACATACTCCTAATTACAGCTATACAGAGCTGTGCAGCAGTTGTGACATAATGGCAAATGAGGCCCGAAACGGAAAACCTTGTTATAGATTCCACCTTTATACTTCTATATTTCATAACAGATAATCGGCCATTTCATGTAGAAGAAAAAGAAGATGAGACAGTTATGAGTTGCACCCTGTATATCTTCAATTACATTTAATATTTCTTCAGTTTATTCTCCTCTCAACAGAAAAATCACACCAAATATATGTAGCATTGACTCCTCAATAATAAACACTCTCTCTCTCTCTCCACTTCCACTAATTGTTCATAAACATGAATCTTTATCTACAGAATAATGCTATGTGTCTGCATCCATTTATACATGTCATCACTACACACAAAGAAACTATATAGGAATCAGTAACTTCTGTTCTCCGGCAATCAGAGTTTATAATGCCTGTTTTCTTTCACTTCGTTCACTTCTTCTTTTTTTCTCTTTTTCAATAGATAGAACATGATAAGTCCTTGATAAAAATACACACCTGACTGTATGTCTGATTTATTGGGAGGCTACATTCAGCATTATTGACTATCTGTGAGTTCTTCTTGTGTACTGGATTCTTGGAATCCAAAATCGGTGGTACACTCGGTCTATCCACTGAAACTCCTACCCTTGCAACGTTCAAAGGGACAGCAGCACCAGTTGATGCTTGCCCTGCCAAAGGAGCCAAAGATGGTCGTGGGATTGGCATGGGAAGTCCTTGACCAGGATGTGCAAAGGCATGACGATTAGATACAGCTATTCCTGGATAAGCAGCAGAGGCAGGAATTGGAGGTGACGGAAAATGCGATCCTTGAACAGAGGGGATTGGAAAAATAGGGCAGCCAGAGGATCTACCATTCATCTCAAGCATACCCATTCCATAGCCCATCCCCATTCCCATACCCATCCCTAAACCCATTGGAGAGAAATGTGGCATTTGAGCAGCATGCATGTGCTGCACTCCAGCAGGAAACATCATTGGCGGGACACAAAACCCTGCTCCCATAGACATTATCTGCAAAATAAGAGGATGAGCCAGTTAGCAACTGTAGTTATGACTCTAACTCTCAGATCTTAAAGAAAGCATAGAAGACCATCATCTAACCTGTACTTGCAGTTGAAGTGTCTTCAAATATTCAATAGCTTCATCAAGCATTGAAGCTTTATCCGCCTAGCAAGCAATAAGGAAAGCCATCAAAATTATTGAAAATGAGAAACTACAGGAGAAGGAGTTGGGATACAATTGTTGGGAATAAAACCCTTACCAAAATAATATTCACGGTAATAAAGCGGAATAATAATGTAGCACCGAGATACGGTAATTAACAAGAATAAAAGAGTAACAATGACACCAAGATTTTTACGTGGAAAACCCTTCTGAATAAGGGAAAAAAAACCACGACCCCGAGAGGAGCAACTGATATCACTATAGTAAGGAATTTTACACTTTGTAGGTCGGAGGTAAATACTCCAAAGACCACTACAACACTCAAAAGAAATAACCCTCTTTTGATATTCCCACCTCACTACAATATCGCTCACTCTCTATTTTCCTCACAGACTATTTTCTTATACCTTGTCTGTGAAACCTCACTCTTTCTTTCTCTCTTTGTTGGTGTGTAGAAATGAGAGTTGAAGCTCTCCTTTTATAGCCAAAGCTTCACCCTCTAAAGCCTACAATATTTGACAATTTACACACACTTTTCACAATTCAACAAAGTTGGCTACCAAACCAAAGAAATTCAACAAGGTTGGCTACCAAACCAAACTAATTCAACAAGGTTGGCTACCAACCAAACCAAGTCAACAAGGTTGGCTACCAAACCAAAGAAAACTCTTATTAGGCACATGCCTAATACTTCTTCAATGAGATGGACATCATCAACAATAAGGTTGGGCGATGGCTAATTTAAATATTACCAGCAACACTTCATCAAACCGTATCAGTTTCAAAGCAACTTGAAATATATTACCAGCACAATCTTAGCTTATGCATTGAGCTCAAATAAATTACTGTCATTTTCTGAGTTTTTAACTAACTTAAAGTTGATTGCTTGACGAGGTATGGTAGAAAAAGAACAGACAAAACCTTCTTTTAGATAAGGTGATGGTATTATAAAGCTAGCACTAAGCGACGTTGTAATTACAAGTGTGCAAAACACCAAAAGAAAAATCCCTTTCCAATCTTACAGGGATTACAAAAATGGAATAGACAAAATCAAATAAATCAACTTCTCAGCGGGACTTTAACTTATCCAAAGACTTTTCGTACCTTGTTGCAGTTGGGTATTAGTTCCTGTAATGCACGCATCTTTTCGTTAATCCTATCCCTTCGCCTCTATTGGCAGAAAATGAATCAGAATGCAATTTATGTCTAAATTGTCTTAAGAAAATTTATAACAATAAATGCAAAAAAGCACAGATGATGTGGTAATGGTTAGCTCACCCGCTCAGATAAATTATGCACCTCTGCAGCTCGGCTTCTCTTTGAACCTGTACCTCCTCGAGTAGGGCAACTTTTTTTTACACCAACAGATTCTTCTTCAACATCCTGAACAAAAGATATTTCCCTGTCAGACTCACACAAAGAAGTAACATACTACAAGACGATGTTAAAAGTAATGGCCTTTAAACAATAAACTTACTTCACTTGGACACCCGGAATCCTCATTATCACGGGATTTCCTCTTTAGATTATGAGGCTGATCACTTGATCCTCTCTCTGCACTGCTACCAGAGCATACAGATGAGCAAACAACCCCATGTTCAGCATTTCCCTCACCATCAGCTGTATCTGTCGTTGCTTTTGCACCAGTAAACTGACCAGGAGTATTGTCACTATTACTCTCTCTGAATACATTATCAGACTGTTCGACACGAGATGATCTATCATGAAAGCTAGCCCCAGATGCTCTTGACTCGCGTTGAGAAGGTACGGCACTAGTTGGATATTGGAGGCCACTTTCCTTCTTGAAACTTAAATAGTCTTCAACTGCTGCAGCATTAACATGATTGTGGCTATTTGTCACATTTTCTCCTTCTTTACATCCCTTTGCTTCTAAGGCAGATGAATCTGAGGCTAAGACCCCAGTAATATTTTGAAGCTTAGTTGCTTTAACAAATGTAGCAGGTCTTGAGAAATGCGAGAAGTTCAGCAAGCTGGAGCAACTTCCAGGCATATTTTGCTTTTGGATTTTAACGCTTTTAACATCACCAGCTGAAACTTGACTTTGATTTGAATCCCCCAAAACAGACACAGAATTATTGCTAGTTTTACTGCTAAAGATATCTGAAACTCCTGGTCCTAGGGATGGAATTGACGCATGACCTTTCTGAGGTGCCAATGAACATAACAGGCTAAATTTGGAAGAAGGAGAAACCTTTCTTTGATCAAAATTCACAGCATTATGTATAGGAACACTCTGTGAATCCCTAATCATCTTATCGGAACTACCTCTCTTATTTATTAAACCAAATTCACTCTGTCCGGCTGGTTCATTCGTCGTCAAACCAGATATTTCAGGCAAAAACTGAGAACAATAATCTTGTTGAAGACTATCATCTGCTGCATAACCTAACCAAGGCACCCCTTCATCCTCTTGAATCAAATCCAGTTCACCAATGGGCACAGATAATGGCATATCATTCAACATTGGGTCCATCACACCAAACTTCCCAATCTTTGAGGCATTTGATGGAAGTTTATTAGGAATAGGGTTCTTCTTAGCACTACTGGACTGGCCTTGCATCATAATCTGACCATTTTCCCATACAAGCTCAACCAATTCATTCTCAGGACTGCATAAATACCAAGAAATTTCTCAAAACATAGCAAATATGAAAAAACCAACTAGCTAAATATTAAATCAGCTGGTTCCAATCAAAGGCATAAAACAAAATGCAAAAATGGAAACAGTACTCACAAAGAAGAGAGATGAGTTGTAGATGAGATTTTCTGCTGGCCAGATTCAAGCTTCCCTCTAGCCATTTTCAAAAACTCAGAGAGAGGCATGATGTAGAGAAGTGTGATAACTGCTAACTCAGAATTGCTCTAACTTTGGGCACTCTGACATTATTAGGAACCCTTCAACACCTGGTCCAGTAGCATTTTTTCCAGCAAAAATCCAAAAGTTTAGAATTCTCAAGCATATAACACGGAAAACCAAAAACTGTTTCCATAAACTAATGTCCTAATCAGTAAAAATTATATAAAACCCATACAGTAGTAAAAATATAAATAATTAAGTTATCAGTCAAAGCCCCAATTGGCCAATTGTTTAATGGGGTTTCCTAAGATACTTTAAAATAATAAAGCAACCAACTTAAGCTTTCCTTGAGTTAGAAAGTTCAATCTTTTTATTCAATTTCAATCATTAGAGTACAAACCCTTCAAGATATCTTAAATTAATTAAGAACCCACAATTTTTATACGCAAATATAAAAAAATTACTAGTCAATTTAAAACAAAACCAACCTCTTCAAAACACACCAAATTAACACTCAGCTCCAAGATCAGCTCTCATCCAAATGAAAAAAGCACCAAACTTTATGCAAGAAAAAATCTCAGTCTTGAACTAAGTATTATTTACTTCAACAAAGATAAATTCTTTTATTCTTGAAAGCACCAATATTTGGGTCTCCACATGCTCAACCTAGCTTTCCAAAAAAGTACAAATCTTCACAGCTAAACCCCCACTTGGGTTTTTGAGCTCCAAGAAAAACAACTGTACTTCTCGAAAATGTAAAGAAGATTTATAGAGAGAGAGAGAGAGAGATAAATAAAGAAAAGAAAGTAATCAGTAAAAAAGATTGCAAAGAGAGGATATTGGGTAGTAGTAGAAGGCGGCGAAAGGCTTGGGAATTTGCAGGTGGCCGAGGTATGAAGGCACGGTATATATTTTTGTACAGAAATAAAGCAAAAGAAGAATGTATAGTACTTGCTTGCTTTTTTAGCTTAAATTAAACAGAGAGCATAAGCTTCCAAATCTGTTGTGTTTTTAACCATGGTTAAGAAAAAGTACATTTAATAACTTAACCACAGTCATATTTATCCTTTTGGAGTATTTGTTGGACTACAATTGTCGGTTTTGTAGTATTATGATTAATTTTGTGTTTATTTTCACTACAAAAAAAAAAACATTGTTTATTTTACGCGGGTGGAAACCGTTGGTCTGATCAAACGGTTTCTTATAACCTCTCATTACATCAGCGTTATTTCGTAGCCAGGTAGGAGTACTTGTTTTTAACTTTGTTTTTTTCTTTTCTTCTTTGTGATAAAAGTGGAGAATTTTAAAATTTTGTAAAAATGAAGTACAAGAACTTCTCAGTTTTTTCAATTTGAGTTTCAGTACAATATATAGTTCAATCTTAAGCAATAATAAGCTCGATTTCATCAGAATTCTTACGACCAACGTTGTTGGTACGTTGACCATCGTTTTATTAACCTTCTTTCTAGTTAACATAGGTTATATGTGAAAGTCTAGTATAATAAATGTGTTTATCTCACTGTAAGCTGAGTGTTTATCGGAAACAATATATTTGTCTTTTTGAGATAGAGGTAAGACTTACGTATACATTACCGTTAGACTCCATTTATGAGATCAAATTAAATTTGTTGTTGTTATTACTGTACCTCAGTTAGAAAAAAAAGACACTTAAACCTCAATATTGCTACTGATGAAATATCAAAGATGTAAGCTTATTATTTACATTTGATGTATGTCAATCATCTTAAGGAATCTTATATAAAATTAGTCGCCTTCGATTGTGATATTCAACATGTTTGGATTTAGAGTTAATGATGTTTGGCTAAGATTACCTTTCATCCTAAATTCCATCATTAATTAGTTTAATTAAAAGGCTCTAACACTTTTTGGTCAAACAATTACTTTAATCTAAATCCTCAGGATAGCACTAGTACATAAAATGGAATATATACGTATGTGGTATTGCCATCTCTATTATCATAATATATTTAACGTAACTATATATATCGATAAAAACTTAATCAAAGGAATAGATTCTATATACGATAATATTTTTCTCTTTATTGAAATTTAAACCTTAAATGAGATAGTTACTGAATGTAAGATGAAGTCCTACGGTTTTTTTTTTCTTTTCATAACGAATATATCCCGACCAAATATTCTGTTGCTCTATTTTGAGAGTCTTAAACTCCGTTACGCTGTTCTCTTTTTTTTTTTTTTTATGTCTCATTTCTTATTTTTTGTACTGTACCAATCATGTTCTCCTTCTCATTATTAGAGAGATGGGGAGGTGAAGGAATCCACTCGAAACTAAACAAAAGGCTTGTTATTGCTAACCTAAAAACTGCAATTGAAATTAAACACAAGGCATTCATTGTGGCTTTTCCCTGAATTTGAATTTAATTTTTCATAGTGATAAAGAGATTTTCTTCGTACGCATTTATTGGCTTCACTTTTATATTACTCATTACTTTATTATATTTTGAGTCGATGGTCATATATAGTAGTTAGATAAGGTGAGAGGTGCACTCTGTCTCTGTTCTGTGTATCTTGAAAAACATATCATACTCGGAGTATTTAATATTATTATCCCTAAGAGATGCTCCTTATATATTTCCATTTAATTATTTTACAGTTTTATCATTCTAACAATTTTGAGCAAAAAATATAATATTACTCCTATATAGAACTACAGTAGTAATATTTTAAGCTGAGGATTGCATCATCAAGCCTTTATTAATATAGGTATTGACCACGCCAAGTGGCCTTTATTAACTTCTCCCTCGTTCTTGGAAAGACGATTGTTACACAGGGTTTTGAATAGTGTGAGTTCAAGTTCCTATTCTTGGATATGTTTAAAATTTTGGACGAAGCTCTCATGAGTAGTCCCAAATAATTATTGGATAAAGTATAGTAATCACAAAGTAAACTTGAAAATCATGATATTCAATTATTCATTATTGATTTGTTTGTTACAGGTAATGTAAATTTCTCACATAAAATAAAATAGTGTGTGCTTTTCTCGTTTTGATGAAGGATAGGTATATGTTGGAATAATTTTCTTGAAAGTACGAAAGCCTGTTTATAGTTTTTTTTCATGTTTTTTGTTTGCATGAGACACCTGTTTGTAGTTTACCGAGCAATTTTTTCACCTGTTAAATTTCAAAAACTTTTCTAGTCTTTGTTTTTTTTCATTACGTTTTGCAATTTTCTCTCTTGAACGAGAGAAAATAGCAATTGACAAGTTCGACTATTCTTTGTTCCCATTATTTTTCTCAATATATATAAGTGCCCACATGCATATTTTTATTTGGTTTGCTTGTTTTAGATGAAGAAAATTGGAACTTAGTTTCTTAACGATTCGTAAATCTCACTGGACAATTTCCTTTTATTTAAACATTACACTTTAGTAATAGAGTTACCTTTTCCTTTTTTTTTCCGCGTTCGCTCTTTTGTAAAGTGACACAGCATCATGAAAATCGATGATGCAAGTTTGCAAGTAGCTAAAAGTACCACAAGATTTGTTTTGACGGAACAGCCAATAATGAAGCTTTAATTAAACAACTTGCTTTTGTTAATAGTATAATAATTATCAGCCTTGCACTTTTTATTGGGAGATCGATTAGTATCTTCAAAGATCTTCCTCTTTTGGATATTGTAGGTAGGTCCCATCAAAGTCGAATTAACAACTTTAAATAACACATGCTCTTGTTATTAAAAAAAACACTTAATTATTTTTCACACTACTATTTAATTATACTGTCGAATGTTTGCATTAGATTTTTGTAGTAAAACGCTACTCCAATAAGGAAATTGAAATAGATCTTTTCATGCAGACGGCTATAAATTCACGATGTGAAATTAGAAAAATATGGAGCTTTGTTGAGGTTACCTTTTATGCAAGAAGAGGAAAGTCCAGGAAAAAATCTCATCTTATTGTACAGTAGCTTAATTTTTTTTCTTCCTATAATTATTCATTATCTGAAATTCACTGGCTCGGCTATTCAAATTCGTCAAAATAGCACGGTATAGCCAGTTTTCGAACTGGTCAATCAAAAATAGCCACCGTTTACGAAGTCAATGAAAAATAGCCACTATTTTGCTGCAACAGAGACCGGTCCCGTATAATATACGGGAGTTCGGTGCATCTGTGTACGAACTCCAGCATATTATGCTGGACCGGTATACTTTGCTGACTCTTATATAATATACGGGAGACTGGAGCACCGGTACTCCAAACTCCAGTATATTATACTGGAGATTTATACTTGCTGGAACTCTCGTATATTATGCTGGAGTTCTAGTGTACTTATGCTGGAACTCCAACATATTATACGGGAGTTCCAGCATAGTTATCCTGGAACTCCCGTATAATATGCTGGAGTTCAAGCACACTTATGTTGGAACTTCAGTATAATATACGAGCGTATTTTCCGGGTTTTGAACAGTGTTTTCGCTCAGATTTATCTTTACATGAAAAGTGGCTAAATTTCGATTATTTTTGAAACTGTGACTATTTTTGAATGACCAATTGTAAATCTGACTATTTTTAAATTTCTCCCTTCAAATTTATATTGTATAAGGCCCATTAAAAAAAGAAGCACATCCTGCTAAAGATTTGTTCGTACCCAAAATTCTAAGTTGAGATTTCTCATATTATAGATGACTCCTATCCATTCCACCATAAACCTTTGATAGTTAAGTGTCACTTTTATTGCATCGGATTTGCACTTTCTTAAAAAGACAATTTTTTTGTGCTAATGAAAAGACAATTTTGAGAATAAACAAAGCTTCCGATAAAAAATCACTATTCAAATATCTATTCTCCTCCTCAGTATATTTTTAATTTAAGACATTAAACAGTTTTAAAACAAACAAACATTGTCTGTGTCTTAAATTTTCAGTGCGGGGACAAGAGCGATACTTTCCAAGTGGACATTTCTGGTGCAAGCAAGTGATTAGTGCTATCTAATGGGACCCTCTTTTCTTGTTTTCTAATGGTGAAAATGAAGGGCTAAATTTTTCATCCTTTAATTTAATTTCTAAGGAAGTGGAAATGATGGATTTGATTTTGAAAGGGCCTTCCAATTACCACCTTTGGTTTCCAAAAACTGTCAAAAAGTTATGAACTGGTGTCATGTGGACTTCACGTGCAATTGTGCAATGTTGAGTTTATTAGTTTGTGAAGTACAATAGAAGTTGCTCAAAATTGAGCCCCACCTTTGTTGTTGTTCATATGACAACCCATGTCATAGGATTAGGATCCATCTCTATATCTCAAACACAAAGTTCTTGTTTTTCCTTATCCTCTTAATCTAAAGAGTCTAACCGCATGCAGTACAATTCAATCACTATAGGTTTAACTTTATTAGATTCCAAATTAAATATGCTTTGTCATTTTCATTAGTCACGTACCTAGTAATATCTTTAAAGATTATTTGAAGCCCACACGAAATAGTTTGGCTATAGTGCTGGATCTTCCGGTGGTCTTCTGGCTTTAGAAAAAAAAAAATTATTTTTGTCCGGACATCTGTAACGTTATCTGTAACGTTCTCATTTGATATTCTAAACTGAAGAAAATATCATTATCCGTTCGATGACTTTTGTATAGAGCTCTCTTTTGGTAATAGTTAAGATAGTTTATTGTTATATGAATGAAATTAGTATACATGAAATTAACTCTAAAATGATATTGCCTCGTATAATTGTTCTAACCTAAATAAACAACACATTTTTTTTCAGCTGTGGAGTCTTCACTATTTTCCTGAAAACTTTTTTTTTATCATAATTCTAAGATGATTTGAATTTGAAAATGAAATATTCAGTCCACAAACATGAGCCTCCAGCTTAAAATTTTGAACTTACCAAATAAATAATCATTAACGCAAATGATCCTATATATTACAACTTACTCCACAAAAAAACACATTGTTTACCTCGA